TTCACTTACCTATTGCTATCTTTACTATCCATCCATCTAAATTAAAAAAAAAGATTTTGTTTCTTTTTTTAATATTAAAAATATCCTTTGATTGAATTCCTTTTATTTAGAATTTAGTTTTTATTAAGAAAATTATATTATATATAACAAATATATTATATTATAAATTATATTTAAATATTATTTTCGAGCTAAACTATATTTAAATGAAGTTTAACTACTCCAAAGTTATGTCATTTAGGCCTGCAGCTCAAATTCCAGTCATTATCTTGTCCGACCTCTAAGTATTTAACATTTTTTGCTTCCTTTGGTTGGGGCACCTAATACTACAATATCCATATATCCATTAAGTGATTTATTGGTCAAACACAGGAGATGCTTAGTATTAGCTTAGCTTAAGTTCAAATTCAAGTCAATAGCTTAAGATTTTTGCATTCAAACATAATGGAAATAGTATTGTAAATAGATTTCGAATTCATTTTGGCATATGATAGACGTAAGTATTCGTAGTCCTGTACGCGTATTCTATGAAATAGAATCTAAAAAGTAAACATTGACATATGTGTGTACCTATCGCTCCTCCACCTGAACGCTATCTATCTAATAATTTTGCTTTAAATGTATATACCCAAAAAAAAAAGAAAAGGAACTATACTATATAGATATATATATATACATATACATATATATTTATATAAATGTAGTTCGATGCAATCCCCCTCTCGATTCGAAAATAAACTCTATCAACTATGACTCAAAATTGAATTTTGATGGTTACAAATGGAGAGAAAGAAGAAGAAATATATACATATATCCAAGAACCTGCGTATAATTTTGACAATAACTGTTTCGAGCAACTGAAAATTAGAATTTCGATTTATGCAAAATGCTTCTAGAACTGCCTACTAGAGAAGTGTTCTATATTAGGCTCCTATGCTAAGCGTAAATATTCTACAGCTAAGATCGATCACAACTTTCTTTTCAAGCCAAAGCTCGAACTTCGGATCACGATGACTAAGTCAATTAGACGCATATCAAAATATCTCATTTCAACTATCATTACTATCACCAAGTACTTCTGTTATTATAGATATCAATAATGAACATTTTACTGTGCCTTTTCCTCGCGTTTCTTTCATATTCCAATTTTATGTGGAAACCAAATTCATTTCAAATTTGAGTTTTATGAATAAGCTTTAAGAAGGTTTCGCTGTAGCAACAAAAATGCTTTGAAAATATATTAATTATCAAATATAAAACAAAAAAAAATTAATTCGAATTCGGTAAATCGAATCTCAAATCACTCTCCATGCGATCAATTAAAGCAAAATTTTCAAAAATCCCAATGATTATTTGGAGAGAGCATTTCATGGAAATTTGTAATTGTGCAATTGATTTAATTATAAATCTCGTTTCGTAGTATATTCCAATCGTTAATGCTGATTTTGCATTGTAGCCTCACATAAATGCAATTAAAAACTATTATTAAATATATATATAAATATACATATATATATATATATATATATATTCAATAAACAATAAAACAAGTACACAATTATTTGGTAATGCTGTCGAAAAATGATTAAAAAAGTTTCAATTGCAACGAATCAAATTATGAAAAATTATATGAATTATTAACTAATTTCAAGGCATAATTAATAAATATTTAAACAAAAATTAAGCATTCAGGCATTTGAGAAACAAAGAAAAACGTTGAGCACAATCATGTTGAATAAAAGCTTAAAAATTTAAGTGGCTTGAAAATGGCAAAAAAAAAAAAAATAATAAGAAACTTAAATAATGAAAAAATTACGAATATATAGCTTAAGTAAAACTGCAGCTAAAGAGAAAGAAAACGATAAAAAAAACCAAAACAAAACCATAATGACATACAAATCCTAAGTACACAAAATGCAAAACGTAAAATGAATTACAAATAAAAATTTCTTGAACGAACATCTTTCGGTCGCATTTTCCTATGGGATGACGGGGCGGGGCATACGAAAGCTGTGCCAGCACAGCTAAATGAGACTTTGAGCCGCTGCGTGCAATCCAAACAGCTGAGACTGCTCCGGGCGAGTCCTTGGGCCCGGCAAGCAGACACAGCCAGCCAGCAGCACCTGCTTGGCAATGCGACACCCACTGGGCCAAGTACTGGGGCAAATTAAATAACATAAAATACAAATCCGCTACAAATCCAAAAGCCAACTACAAAATAATAAACTTATTAATTCAAATTGCTGGCCCCAACACAGCCAGCAGCGACCTGCAAAGGACTTGGCCTCTAGCTGCCTGCCGCCCGCCTGTCTACTAGGGTGCCTGGGTGCCTGGCTGGTTTGCTGGCTCATCATTGTCGCATTGTTAAATCCTGCAAACATCTGTGTCTCTTGGAGCTCAATTACACACAGATATCCTTGCTCGCTTAGTTTTTCCAAATGCCCTTGCCAGAGAGGTGCACAGATATTAGCTAGAGATGAGCGCATGAGTGACGTAAATACCAACAATTTTGAATGTAGCTTTATTTATTTTATTTGCTTGCGCTCATTTCTTTTATATATATTTTTAAATAAACATTTTCTTTTATTTTATACAACATTTAGATACATTTTTTAATATTTAAATAATATATTTATTTAGTTGTAATTATTTTATATTTAATTTTCACAAAATATTTAGACTTACAAGACAAAGTTAAACTACTTCTCTCTTTTATTTAATAATAATTAATAGACGCCTTTAGAATTCTATCCAAATAAATGCATATGTACATATTTAAATCTGTGAGTACCTGTTCATTTCACACTTCATGCATTCACACAGACACAGTCGCAGCCACAAATTCTTCGATTTACATTGGAAACTGTAAGAAAAGAGCAAAAGAGACAGCAAAAGAAATGAACGTAAGAAACTAAAAGTGTCTGCGCAATGTGTTTAACGGCAAATTCAGTACAATAAATACTCATCTCCAGGGCATGCACACTAATCCAAACGCAAGTAGCGGTTAATTTTTGTTACGCCTCTTGTTGCCCAGCTTCGTAGACTGTGTGAGGACATTGTTATTGCTCGTTTTTGCTCCATGCGTGTCGTTCTTTGTGTGTGTGTGTCAACCCAAAATTGCGAAATTGGGATTTGGCGAGTTCGCCTCCTAATTGGAAAAAATGCCTGCAGCCAAAAAAAAGTGGCGAAAGAGTCCACAAGTGCTGCATCACTTGAATTTAAAGTAACATTTCCTATGCAATCGAAATCAATAAGTTATTATTTGAAGCTGGCTCTCGGGCTCTCAACTCACTTTTGCTGGCGTCTCACGGGGATGTGGCTGCGCTTATTTGAGTTGGTTTTCTTTGTAAGGCTTGCGAAAACAAAATCCCAGACGCAATCTTTGATTTTATTGTAAGCAAACGAAAAACAAAGCAAACGCAAAAAAAAAAGAAAAGAACAAACAGCATGAATGCCATTGCCGGCAGCAAAACAAATGCGCTCAGAGATTTCCGTTAGGTTAGAAAAGCAAAAACAAGAGTAACTACAACCCAAAAACCTCAAGGCTAACGCACGAAAGGGGGAAAAGCAACAGAGCAACAGCAGTAACAATTTTTGCTGGTGCTCCACTGGCCATTGCCAACATGCGTAAAGCATTTTAAACAGATAAGCAGCCGAGCATGTGCGTAATTCTTATTAAAACATGCATACATACATATGTATGCGTATTTTAATGTAAACACCTATTTCCATATTTTGGAAGGAAAAAAACCAATATAAAACTAGTTCTTTTACAGACTCTGTTAACAATAACAGTGCGATCCGCACATGCAAAACTTATCGATCAATTGTATATCGATAAGCAGTTTAAAATAGTAAAGCGATTACAAAGTAAATCAACGAAACTCTGCAATAAATTAACTATTTACGAGTGTTTCTAGCTCTTGAGATACATAAAATTCAAATTTAACGTGTTTAAAGCCTATAAAGCTGGCAAATACTACAGTGCAAGCCATAAAAATGCAGACGGTGTCAGTGGGCAATGTATAAAGCCGTTGCATTGCCTGCCTGCACACCTTGGGGACATGAAGTCATCAGCAACAAGCCACCCACACACCCTCCCCAACACTCGGTGTGACCCTGCTTGACTTCTTGTGGCTGCAGATCAGGCAAAAAGAAGGATAAAACTGGCCCACTGCACCTTAAGGATTTGCTTTTTATGTTTATTATTTTCTTCACCCCGTCTATCTAGCTGTGTTTGTGTTTGCGTTTATGTGTGTGAGTGTGTGGTATTAGCCACGTGGCTGGCACCCCTCGCCAATTCGATGTGCTAGTTTTACACCCTTGTGTCTATGTATTCCGAGACCCCTGCCTTCACGCGTAGGCAAAGCCGCAAACGAAACATGTTGCGTTTTTTATGTGGCCTAGCCTAGATCCAGGGGTTAGAGGGGTTGAGCCGCGTTGCTGTCTTAGGTCATCAATAATGGCGCAAACATGCATTAAAGACGCTTGCCTTACATTAAGACGAAGCGGCTTATTGAAATTGGTACACAACCTGGGCCCTTTTCGCTCCCTTTTAACTATTACCGGGAGATGGGACTTGTGCTCCCAAAGGACTCACTACTTTCAATAAAAATTTGTTTGTACACTGTGGACACTTTCTTTCTCCTTTGTGTGTTAACCTTTTTTTTTTGCTAATATAAATAGATGAGTTCACTGGGGTCGGACTCCAAGTGCATTTCAAAATTTCAAAAATTGCGCCAGAGCTAACATTGCAAGCGCCATCTACAGACTGTTAACGCATACTTCACTCTGTTAGCTGCGGAACTGCCAACTTGTTCACCTCAACATCGCGTCGCCACCACAGCTAATCTCTTGATATATTTAGTTATTTATCTACTAGGGCAACACTGACGCGTCAAGACCCATTGTGCATTTTTTCTAAATTAAAATGGCATTTACAAGCCCAAAAGATATTAAATAAAGTGCAATACGGAATATTATAGTGCTTGCTGGTATGGTGTAAATCATTTTAAAACCAGAAACTGAATTTTGTTAAAATAAACGTAGTAGCTTTTCTACTTGAAAAACTATGCGCGTGTGCCCGTGTACGTGTGCGTGTGTGTGAGTGAAATTCCAACAATGCGCAGGGAGCGAGCTGGCTGAAATTTCTTTATGCAAAGCGTACGCAACAAAAAAGAAGCCACCGATAAAGCAGCACAGCCAGGGAAAAAATTATCTGTGCGTGTGTTTGTGTGTATGTGTCGGCAGCTATAAAAAAGTGCGTATAATTAGCAAGTGCAACGAGCATTGTTACATACTTATAAATATATATATATATATATATATATATATATATATGTATATATGTGTATATATATATATATATATATACATATAAATATATATATATGTAATTTTTAAGGCAGCCTACATCAAATCATTGAACTGTACAAACACGCCCATATTTAGTGTATGTGTGGAACGCCAGATTTGCCTGCGTGTATATGTGCATGTATGGATTTGAGTGTTTGTAAGACAGTGTTTATTTATTACACTTTGATTTTGCAATAAGCTGCTGCTCTTGCTATAATAGTCGCTTATCCAGCGAACGGAAGTCGTCGCCTACAATTTTCGTGTTTTTATTTTATTTTACGCTCCCCCCACACACACACACATGCACATACAAAACAATCAAGCTGGCACACATACATGCATATATTCATTTATATACCCACACGCTTTAAGAGTCTCTGTTGCTGTCAACGTTGGCGTCGGCGTCTGCGTTAGCAGCGCAGACTCAATTGCATGAGAATTTTTTTGTTTTATGTTGTATCTCTTGTGTTTTTGTTTTGTTGTCGTCGGCGCGCAACGTTGACTTAATTTATTGGCAGCATTGTTGCTGTTGTTGTTGTTGCGCCTGCTGAAAATGAAAGTGTGTTAGTATGTTTGTATGCATGTACCGCAAATTGTGCGCCCAGTGAAACAAAAGCAAAAAAGAAAAAACAAACAAACAAACAAAATTGACCAATAAAATCTCACAGCAAGTTTTTTTATTTTCCTTTTTTTTACAAGAGATTAAAGAGATTTCATATTTTGCAGCTTAATTAGGTAAAGTTTGCTTTACGAAAAATGTGAAAGAGCAAAGAAATAAAAAAGTAATATAATTATACATATATACATACATATATTTGTACATATAAGTGCCTATATTTGTATATAAAAAACTGGCTTTAACTTTTTCTCCTTAAATTATTTGAGCTAAAAATTTGGCATTATTCAATTAAATTTAAATTTTTAAACAAATATATTGTGTCATCATAATTACTAATATTAACTTGCTTTAAATATTTTAATTAGCTAAAGTCTGGACACATTATAATACAGTGCTCTACAAAATATAAAGCAAACTTAATGTTTGCATACAAAAATTTATTTTTTTATCATTTTCAAAATATTTCAATATCATCTAAGCTAAAACGTTGTGTTATTCAGCCAAATAATAAAATATTTATAAATAAAAAGTAGATTTTAATTTTGTTTTTTGTTTTTCGTATTTAATCAAGAATTGATATTTCTTATCATTTAAGCTGTTAAAATATTATAATAACAAATAATTATTTTTTTCTGATAACAGAAATTGAATAGTAACTTTTCGTTATATAAAAAAATCAATTCTAAATATATGTATTTATAAATAATTTCATATTTAATCTTAAAAATGGAGATGCCTAATCTGATTTCTGATTAGATTGATGTATAAATGACACTGCTTTAAATTGCTTTCTAATTTAAAATCGAGTGCATTTGTATTAAAAGATTATTTTGTCAATCGCGCGCGAAGCCACCTTTAAGAAAAGTACAAAAAAAGCAAATAGTAATGATTACAAAATATATATGAAATAAGTAAACGTAGTTAATTTAAATTTGTTTTGCTTGTTGCAGCTTAATCGCAAAGTCTAAAGTTCAGCAGACATATCATCCAACTGATTGGCATGCCGTAGCTGCAGTAGCCGAAGCCGAAGCAGCAGCAGCAGCAGCATTAGCAGCCCCTTAATGGATCCATATCATCATATCAGACATCATGTGAGTGTCAACTTGAATCTTTAATATCTCATTGTATGCCCATTAAGAACTTCCTTTTTGACCAATTACTCACCTCTCTCTCCTCTCTCTTTCTCTTTGCGTGCAGTATCCACCCACTAGCACAGCCAGCTCAACGGTTGTTGGCAGCGGCACCACCGGCTCAATCAATCGACCAGAATTGCATCAAAAATGCAATCGTGGCTCGCATTCAAGTGACACAAGTTCAGCGTACAGCGGCAGCGATACAATGGCCTCTGTCTATGGATCATCGTTGGAGGCCGAGGAGATTGATCTCTCCGGCCTCGTTGAGTCTGTGGTGGACTCCGATGAGGAAGATCTTGCCGAAAGCATGGATGTGAGTTGGTCATATCGAACAAGACAGAAAGTACAACTGGAAATTCTTGTGAAAGCAATTTCAAGTTTAAACAAACTTATCCTAGCTATATTTAATTATTGTCCTCTCTCTCTCCCTGTGCCTCTCTCTCGGTAGAGCCTTAATGTCCGAGATGCCGTACGTGATTGTCTAGAGAAGGATCCATCGGAGCGCAGCGAGGACGATGTGGAAATACTGCTGGAGTTCACGCAGGGCCTTAAGGCATTCACAAATATAACGCTAGCGGTGCGACGCGCCCTCTGCTCCGTGATGGTGTTCGCCGTGGTGGACAAGGCCGGCACAGTGGTCATGTCTGACGGCGAGGAGCTTGACTCCTGGTCGGTGCTAATCAATGGCGCCGTCGAAATCGAGCATGCGAACGGCACACGCGAGGAACTGCAAATGGGCGATTCGTTTGGCATTCTGCCCACCATGGACAAGTTGTACCATCGCGGCGTGATGCGCACCAAATGCGACGATTGTCAATTTGTGTGCATTACGCAAACCGATTACTATCGCATACAGCATCAGGGCGAGGAGAATACGCGTCGGCATGAGGATGAACAGGGACGCATTGTAATGGTCACCGAATTGCGATCGATTGGAGGCAGCGGTGCAGAGAGCGCCACTACAACGGGCAGTGGCTCTGCGGCTACAGCAAATTTGAATACAAAACGTGGCCATGTGGTCATAAGAGGCACACCCGAGCGGCTGTTGCAGCAGCTTGTCGAGGAGAACTCGATGACAGATCCAACGTATGTGGAAGACTTTCTGCTAACGCATCGCATATTCATACATAATCCACAAGAGGTGACTCAAAAGCTGTTGCATTGGTTCGATCTAGAGCAGCTGGACACGCACAAAACGCAAGAGTTACGAGACCGTGTCACGCGTGTCGTGCTGCTGTGGGTGAATAACCATTTTACAGACTTCGAGGCTGACCACGAGATGATGGAGTTCCTGGAGATCTTTGAGGCTGGCCTGGAAAGTAAAAAGCTGCTAAGTCAGCTGCGCCTACTGCACATCGCGTGTGCCGCCAAAGCACGCATGCGCAGCTGCATTTTAACGCGTTCCTCACGCGACGAACCACTAAATTTCCAAATTATCGGCGGCTATGAGCTGCGCGGTGTTGCCGCAGCAACGGGCAATGCCTCGGTTGGCATTTACATATCGCACGTGGAGCCAGGATCAAAGGCTCAGGATGTGGGCCTAAAGCGTGGCGATCAAATACATGAAGTTAATGGCCAATCGCTGGATCATGTGACCAGCAAGCGTGCACTGGAGCTGCTAACGGGCACCACGCATTTGAGCATTCAGGTGAAAAGCAATTTGCTGGGCTTCAAGGAGATTATGCAAGCACTGGAGCATGGCAGCGGCAGCAACTCGGCGGGCGGCGGCGGCATCAGCAGCAGCGGCAATGGCAGCTTCAAGAGCTTGCGCAGTCCGCGTCGCATTTGCGCCAATGATATTGCCAAACTGCATGGACGCAGCGACAGCACCACCGAAGAGCTAACAAATCGTGCGCATATGGTGCGATTGAGTTCCGTAGACATGTTGCTCGATCAGCCAGACTGTGCGCCGCCTCAAACGCCGCCAGTGAGCGCCGGCAGCGGCAACATGGCTGCCAATTTTATGCAACAGTTGCTGCAAAGCGTCAACTCGAATTCGGCTAAGAAGTGCAGCGCAGAGGATAGCAAACCAGGAGGCTTTATGACGCTGGCGCCGAAGCGCCGACTCCAGAAAGCCTTGGCCAAAATGAATCTACTCAAGCAGCAGCAGCAACAGCCGCACGTGGGCAGCCTCAATGATAGCTCCGATACGCTGCTCAATGAGCCGCAATCGAAGGCAAAGCTATCGGCTGCCAGTTCTGGCAGCAGCAGCTGCAATTCCACGAATGGCGGCTGCACTGCCACCACTGCCGGACGTCTGTATCAATCGCAATCGAATCCGGATCTAAGCAGTCTCAACTATGACAACAACATTGAGTCGTGTGCCACGCTGCAAGTCAACTACTTGCAGGCTCATATACATCGTCCCTCCGCCGCCAGCACACTGACGAGCAGCTCCATGCTGCCGCCTGACTATCCGGAGCATGTGCTCAAAGTCTATAAGTCGGATCAGACATGCAAGTACGTGCTCATCTATAAGGAGACGACGGCTCATGAGGTGGTCATGCTGACGCTGCAAGAATTCGGCATACACGATCCCAGCTCCAATTTCTCGCTGTGTGAGGTGAGCGTCGGCGAGGGCGGCATGGTGAAGCAGCGTCGTTTGCCCGACCAGCTGCAAAATCTGGCGGAGCGCATCAGCTTTGCGGCACGCTATTATCTCAAGCTCAATGACAGCACTGAGCCGCTCGTGCCGGACGAACTGGCCTTGGAGCTGGTGCGTGAGTCGGGCGTATATTTTCTACAACTAAATGCCTACGAGCTGGCCATACAGCTAACATTGCAGGATTTCGCGAACTTCCGGCAAATCGAGTCTACGGAATATATCGATGAGCTGTTCGAACTGCAATCCAAATATGGTGTGCCCATGCTCAGTAAGTTCTCGGAGCTGGTCAATCGCGAAATGTTCTGGGTAGTCAGCGAAATCTGCGCCGAGCACAATATCGTGCGCCGCATGAAGATCGTCAAGCAGTTCATCAAGATTGCGCGTCACTGCAAGGAGTGCCGCAATTTCAACTCCATGTTTGCCATCATATCTGGGCTGGGCCATGGCGCTGTGTCGCGCCTGCGCTTGACCTGGGAAAAGTTGCCCTCGAAGTATCAGCGTTTGTTTAATGATCTACAGGATCTGATGGATCCGTCGCGCAATATGTCCAAGTACAGGCAGCTTGTATCGGCTGAGCTGCTCGCTCAGCATCCCATCATACCATTCTATCCGATTGTGAAAAAGGATTTGACATTCATACATCTGGGCAATGACACCCGTGTGGATGGTCTGATTAACTTTGAGAAACTGCGCATGCTTTCGAAGGAGGTGCGCCTGTTGACGCACATGTGCAGTTCGCCGTACGACTTGCTGGCCATATTGGAGCTGAAGGGGCAGACGCCCTCCAATGCGCTCTTCTCGCTCAATCAAATGTCTGCCTCGCAGAGCAATGCAGCTGCCGGCACGGTGATCGCTGCCAATGCCGGCCAGGCTACGATCAAGCGACGCAAGAAGTCAACCGCAGCACCGAATCCCAAAAAAATGTTCGAAGAGGCGCAAATGGTGCGTCGAGTCAAAGCCTATTTGAATAGTCTCAAAATACTGAGCGATGAAGATTTGCTGCACAAGCTTTCGCTGGAGTGTGAGCCGCCGCACGGCTCCACCTATTCGGGCAGCATATCACATGGCAACAGCTCGCATCGCAGCGCAGGCAGCGGCAGCATCAACGCCGGCAACACTGGCACCGGCAGCATCAACGCCGGCGGTGATCAGCTCAGCATCTACTCGCACACCAGCTCCAGTTCGGCGCCAAATTCATCGCTGTCGCTGCGCAAGCGACATCCCAGCTCGCCCACGCTCTCTACCACCAGCTCGACGAGCTCCACCAGCGATCATCAGCGTCGCCAGCAGCTGCACAACAATGGACCCAAGTTTGGCACCGCCTCGCCGCAGGCAGTCAAGAAAATGCTCTCGCTGTCAGAGTCCTCCAAAATACGACCACATCAGCCGTTCGTGCCGAGGCATAACTCAGCGTTGCCTGGCGTCATTCCGCCGCTGCATCATTTACATGCCGCACATGGCTTTAGCACGCCGGCCGGCTCGGGAGGCAGCGTTGTGGCAGCTGCTGCTGTTCCGGCGGGCGTGGCCAATGCACAATGTACGCCCAGTCCCAGTCCGTGTGCACACCGACGTTTGGCATCTGGAGGTAAGCAGCATCTCTATCTCTAGACTTAGCGGATTAGCGAATTCTTAGAATGCTTCCATGGTTTATGGCTGGATTATACATTGAAAGTCGTTGGTAGAGCTGTAGTTCTAGGAAAAATCTGTTGACTTGCTACTTTAAACCAAATTTAGTTGAAATTTAAGAAAATAAGATTGAAATACAAAAATCTTATCTTGAAGATAATAGAGATTATGTTTGGTTATATTTTTACATATAAGAAAGTAGATACAAATATCTTAACATTTTATGTACCACAAACTAACAACTAGTTTTAAAGATATTGAATTCTATCAAATGGTTAATGGAAGGCGTGGCAGACTCCATCAACTATACATGAGTTAAGCTCGCCTTATGCATCTCAGTCAGTCTATCGCTGTACATGTGTTATTTGCTATGTGTGGGCAAGGAATGAGTTCAGGGCATATTCTAGTCGAGTACTCCCGACTAGAGCACTCTTACTTATTTTCTTTATAAGCATGAAAGTTAAAGTCTCTATTGTAAATCAGCTAATATTGTTTGATTGGTTAGCTATGCTTGACAGCAAAATTCATAAAAAGTTATATCAGTTTTATAGTTCTTATCAAGATAGCACAGATGGGAATAACTTATAGCTGCCAATCGATCATTGTTGCAGATCAATGAAAACTTGTCTGCTTTTCAAGATTATGTTTCTTAGATGCTTAAAAATCGATTTGAACTATTATTATAAAGCAACAAGCATGAATGCACTTTCGATATATAATAACTATATTCGAATTATACCAGAGACCATGTTATTCTGTTCTGATGCAATCGAATATACGACTCAACATATCACATAGCTCTACAGAAAGAATGGGTATACCTTGATAGGAACTTTAAAGAAGTTAAATATTCCTTATTCTCACTCTATACCAATTTTATGAGCTAACATAGTTGGAACATTAAACTAATTAAACGATTATTCTATTCCAATTAGCTAAGAAACATACTTCGTTGAGTACAAACCCAATCAAACGTATACTTAAATTTCTTGTATTTGTATTGATTCTGTTTCGTTTGTTCTTTTGCTTCAGGCAACATAATGCCCACACGTGCGATACACGAGCGTTCCCATTCGGACACGCCCGCCCCACCACCGCCGTTGCCTTCGGTGGATCTATCGCTGGAGAGCAGCAGTGTGACGACATTTCGTGATTTACCGCTGCGCAAGTCCGTGACTTCCGGTAAGTGAACAGAAGGCAATGCAGACTTTCGCCCACTAAACGCTTAGACACTGCCTACTAAAAACTAAGCTTATAGTTACAAATATTGCCTAGTTGTAGCTTAATTTTAGTTGGCCTTTAGATAATATCTAAAGTTAGTTGTGCTTTAGTATATACCCCGCTCCTCGCTTGCATTTGGCTGTTATATACATATATATATATGGTGGTTGGTTATCGCTGCTTTGGCATTTGGTTGTTGGTCTCTTACACTGCTTTTTATACATACATACACACACACACACACACACACACTTACAACACTCAAACACACACACACTGGCGTGTGCTGTGACACACTTTACGCTACTTTTACTCTACTTTCATTGTCACAAACAAACACCCAACAGGTTCAGTATCATCGTGTGACAGCGGCCATGGCTCCTACGCCCAACAGCAGCAGCAGCCGCACCATCAACAACACCACTTGGCATACCAACAGCAACAACAGCAACAGCAACACAATGAACCATCGCCGCCCGTTTATACGGCTGCCGATTGCCGCCTACTGCAGCAAATTTCTAACAATGCCGTCACACGGAATTTGAACAGTCCCTGTCAGAGCACGAGCACTCCACCTAGCACACCTACACCACCACCACCGACACTACAACAACAACAACAACAGCTACCCCAATTGCAACCACAATCAGTATCCATACAGCCACCACAGCTTCCTGCACCGCCAGCGCCCTATATACATATGCGCAGCCACCAGCAACTGCAGCAAATCCAACAGCAATTGGCCATGCCACCACCACCACCGCCGGTCTACACCAGCAGCCTGTACAATCATCATCATAGCACTGCGACTAGCAGACACCTAAACCACATGCATGGTAAGTCCAGCTGCAACTGAAAACAGCCAGTGGAAGCGATAACCTAACCACCATATGCAGCGCAAGAGCAAAAGGGGCAAACGATTTAGAATGTCACACTGCAGTTTGTAATTGTGATAGTTTAAGGTATATATATAGCAGATATAGAAGATAAAATGAGAGTTATGTCATAAAGCTAGGCTTTCAGTTTTATATACAACTTTTTGTATTAATAGTATTTATAGTTAATAGGATTTAAGATAACTGCAAGTGTATAAAATGTTAAAATTAAATATGTTATTTGTTATGTTAAGTGTCTGTTAAATATATAAGCTGGCTCTCTTTTTCGAGGTCTGTTTAAGAATATTTCATAATAGTTTTTAAATTGCATTTAATATATATTTGGAATTGATTAATTTATTAATTATTCTCTTTAATATTGTTCCCATCCAGGTGGACCGCCAAATTTTATGGATAGCACCAAGTGCACCATATGTCCCATGCCACCAATGAATCAATAAATCAAACTGTGCTGTTTTAACTACTAAATGTTAATTTAATTAGTTGTGAGTACCGAAAAATAATTAAAAGAGAATATAAAACTAATTTAATGATTTCTTTATTTCTTGCAGCATATATATATGCCAAAATTTGTTAAATGGTTGTGGTTTCCATGTCACCAGCAACAAAAACACATACATACGTACATACATACATACATCATATGCACATATACATACATACAAATATGGCTCAACCGTGGACGAGCTGTTGCCCCAACAAACAGAAGGGTGCGCACACACACACATTTACATGTGCGTATCTCACTTATCATGAACACACTTTTTCTATCCCGTTAATGTTCGATATCCCATTGTCACGTATTCTTAAATTAAGCGCCTAAAGTTTAGTTATGCTCTATATGTTTTAAGTGGCTTACGATTAATTTTAATTTAGCACAATTCTTTGTAAACATTTTCCTCAAAAACAAAAAACAAAAAGGAATTCGAATAGGAATCATCCACAAAGTTGTTGCCTTCTCGCATGCATCAAAAGAAACGTCTGCAGGCAGACCAATCCAGCAGACCTAATCAAAAACAAAAACAAAACATTTGCAATCAAAAACTCTTTCGAAGACTTTCAGTCGGCATTTAAAAACAAAGCAAAAAGAAACACAATTTTTTGCCCAGCACAACAATAATTATAATAATAATGAAAAGGGGACGAGGCCGACTCAATCTATTGTATTCCATTTATGTATACCTTAGCTCATACATATATATATATACATACAAGTTAGTTTTATCTATACATACACATACGTATACATATGCAAAAATAATGATAAAAGAAAAAACCTTCGCTCCGATTCCAAATATTTAGTTTGTAAGCCGATAGATTTTTTCGAATATTTTTCAAGCGTGGTATTTACTATAATTTACTTAAAGTGTAAAAAACAAATCCCAAGAACAAGAAAAGACAAACAAGAGAAGACAAGATAAATGAAAGTACAAGCAAATCGAAACCAACCAGAAACAAGAACAAGAAAACTAAAACCTGAGACTTGAAAAATCAACAAATATAATAATAATAATAATATTAACAATTTTTTGTAAACATATTTCTCTCACACGTTAAGGACTCCAATATTTTTCCATGTGTGTATGTATATATATATACGATTGTCTGTTATATACATAGATATACACTATATAAATATATATACATACGACTATATACAAGAAATCTCCATATATATTTATATAAATATATATATATACATTGCCTATATACAAACCTGAACAAAGTCTAGCCCAACAATTTATGTTTCGCCTGAACGAAAACAAAAAAAAAAAACAAAACAAGAAAAACTATTTCAAAAAAAATTGCTAAATGTTTAATGTATACTTGTGCTCTTTTTATGTTTAAGTTAAGATAATGAATATTGCTTTTTATGGCTAACACGTAAAATGAAACAATTTTTGTGCTTTTTCGCTCGAATTCAATTTATAATAATTAAATTAAAAATCTCAAATGATCAGTGCGCTTTAAGATCGAATTTGTATGCTTTCTTTATTCTAAAGTTGGATAGAACTAACTTCAGTTGAGTGTGCTTAAAACATCTATTCATTATTTTCAATCCTAGGAAAACTGGTTAAGATTTTCTCAAATTTTAGACGATTTTCATATACTTTACAAGTATTCGATTAAAAGAATTATAGTTAAATTTTATTAAGATTTTCATATACAATTTCATTATATTTTTTTTACGATTTTTCATTGAAATTTATCCAACTTTAGAAAAATGAAAACAAGCTCTGATAGAAAGTAAAAAAAACTATTTGCGCAAAAGAAGAAAACTTAAATGTAATATTAACTCTGCTTGGCCGTTAAATAAAATATTTACAAATCATTTTAATTAAATACTTTATGTAGCTCATTTAAGCTTCAATATGCATGTGCATTATATATTATATATGTTTCGTATATATAATGCGTATAAATATTGCAAATTACTTTGGAAAAGAAACATACAAAATACAAAATACATGCAGTATTTCAAAAATTAAACTCAAACTTTTTTCTCTTTTATATATACAGTTTTTATTCAGTGAAACGAAATGCTGAATTTTTTAATTGAAAATGTATAATTTTTTATTGCTTTGCGTTGCGTAATGCATATCAATTGGTTTATTAAAAAATGTGTATAAATAATTTGGCTTTAAACCTAAGCACTATGATTAACACAAAATTCGTTTTGTATTGGGTGGAGCGCTTAAATGTTGGTAACAAATTCTCGAACTCTTAAATATACAAATTTAGGATCACAATTATCATGATCGTATATGGTGGTGGTGGTATATAGCTGCCGCATTTGGAAGAACAGTCGTATGGTACTTAGGATAATTGATGAAGTATATGAAACCAAGTCTTTGTGGTTACCAAAAAGTTGTTCGTTTCTCTTTCTCTCGTTACTCATAGGTTAAAGGCTTAAATATGAAATACTATTTAGAGCTAGGGTGAGCCCAGTGTTGGGAATTAGATGCTGTTCGCTTCCGCTTCCACTTCCATTTAAATTAAACGCGTGCGTTTCAGATAGGTGATGAGCAGATTATAGATGAACTTATACTGCGCTAGCGATGGTATAATGCTGTCCCGCTGATGCCGCAGCTGTCCTATGACGCGCGGTATGTCCAAGTCCTGCAGGATTTGAAATTTAAATTAGAATACACTATGCTATAGATTATATATATTTTAGCTAGAGTTCCCACCTCATTGTGATCCAGTGTGTAGAGCAGTAGATCAGCTGTCAGCGTCACACCCGATCGGCCGCCTCCCTCCAGACAGTGTATGAGCACTGGGGGATTTGTATTGTGACCCGGTGGCACCTCGTCCGTTGAGGCCAATCGAACCGAATTGAGCTCCTCGAGAAAGTCTAGGAAATGATTGACATCACGTGGACAATTCTGCTCCGCCCAATCGGCGTATTTTAGATGCCACACAGAGCGATAGCGACGCGACGGTACATGATACAGACGCAGCTTGCTGGTGGTGCAACGGTCTGTAGTATGTGAGAATTCCTGATAAACCTGGAACTGTACGAGATGCGTGTTTAGAGTACATTTGACTATATATTTGTTGGCTAGTTACATGTCCAAACTCCATATACTGTTGACTGCTGAGCGGTATATAGCTCATATCTTCCGTTAGCTGCACCACCAAATACACATCTGCCTCCCACACGCATTGCCAGAAGATACGCATTGTTTGCGACTCCTGGGGTGATTGGGCGACAATGTAGAAACGCTGCTTAGTGCCAACGGTGGCCTGCGAAAAGAAGTATGCAATTAAAGTTAAGAAAGAGATTAGGCTTTAAGAAAATATTACCGATATGTATGAGGCATTCACATAGCCAAGGCGATTATCCATCGATGGCGTTAGACGCACGCGATTATCATCGTATGGCAGAAAGTTGGGATCATGATTCTTCAGCTTGTTCTCTTCGAGCAACGCACAAGCGTATTGCGGATGCTCGCGTCTCTTCGGTATGCGTTCGAACTCCATAAAGAGCTGTGAGTCCTGTAGTTTATCATTTAAAATCTGGCACTGGGGGAAGGAATAAGTTTATATCAAAGAAATATAGCTGAGTAAGTATAGCTAGCGATACTTACCAATTTATCCTTTGAATACTGCCCCGATATGGGCTGTGGCTTGCTAACGCCTGTCGACCAACGATGCGGATTGAGATTGAGATCATCCTGGGCTAATTTCATTTTCGTTGCCAGCTTGGCTTGCTGCGCTGCCGAGCTGCTGGCCTTCTCGCGGCCCAGCGTGGCGGACTTTGGTTTGTCGGGCGTTTTACTGCGCGACAAAATGTTCCAACGTCGACGACGCTTCACATCTTTGCTGGCCGACGACGAGCCGGTGGTGTCCAGCGTCGAGTTGAACATCGATGATGTGGACGCAGACGTATTGGCAGACAGATTCATGGCACTAAATTGCTGCTGCAGCAACGAGTCGCCCGCCGGCGAAATCACATCCACCGTGGACTTGTTCAGGCTGGCCGTCGAGCGGTGTTGGCGCGGCGGCGCTGTCGCTCCAATTGCGGGCGCTGCGCTGGCGGCACGTGCCGTCCGTTGCGGCGCCTGCGGCTCCAAGAACTGCAGCTCCGTGCTGGCTGCACGATCAGCGCCCGCGTATTTCTTAATATTTCTGGTAATCTCATCGTCCGGCTGTGCGTTGACAGTCACCGTAACCACATTATTGTTGCTGGTGGCGGAGGATTTCGTGTTGGCATGCCGTGCAGCCGGCACAGGCGCCACGCCCGGCGGCGCTGACTGTATGGAAGAGGCGCGTTGACGCATGGCATCTGCATTGGCATTGCCGCTGCTGCTGCCACCGCTGGCTCGTTGCGGCAGTGGCACATTCTCATAGATGGGCTCAATGGAACCATTCATGCCGCTGCGCTGCAACGGAGTTGGCGTCGTAGCCACTGGCTGCGGACTACTAGCAGGCGGCGGTGCCGAGCTGCGATAGCCACTGGGCGGCAAAGTGGGTGAGCTGCAAAACCAAATGGCAATGTTAATTTAGTTTAATAGCTCCTGGCTAATTGACAATTGTTTACCTCTGCACAGCTGCTGCAGCGGCTGCGGCTTGACTCATCGCCGACTGGCGCAGCTGGGACATTATGGACGGCTGCTCCTCGATCATGTTGAGGTTCTCGAACGTGCCGTGCGGCGGCAGATACGGCTGCGAGTGACCCATATGGCTGATGTACGGATACTGATGCAGCATGGTGGCACCCGACGAGGTGGGCACATTGCCATGCACCCCACCGGCGGCGGTCAACGCCACAAATTGGCCGCCATTGAGCAGAGTGCGATTGGACACCAGATCGGGCGATGAGCCTGACACGTAGTTGCGATAACCCTGCAGCGGCCGTGGCGTGGCCACAGCCAAATCCGGCGTGGACGAGGAGCTCAAGCGATTCACAGGATAGGGAGGCGGCGCCTTATGCCGCATCATATGCATCCGCTGCGACAGCTCCAAGTATGTAGCCGGCGGCTGCTGCTGCTGTTGCTGCTGCTGCTGCGTCTGATAGAAGTTCAGATGATGATGATGCGCATGCAACGCAGCCGCCGGCTGTGCCACATCCGGATAGCGATGAGCCGCCGTCAAATGATGGCCAAACAGCAGATTCTCGCCGTAAACCGCTGCATTGTGGACATCCGGCTGCGAGCCGGCATAGTAGGCAGCGGCATTGCCCGGCGTAGCCAACGCCAGCGCCACGTTGTGCAAATCAGCGGAGGGCGTGCGATATTTGAGCTGTACAGCAGTCTCGTAGTCCGGTGCGGGACGATAGGTTGGCAGCATGGCCTTCAGGCGTTCACGTTCGTGGGTGTCCGTGTTGCTGCCGCCGTTGTTGTTGTTGTTGTTGTGGTGCAGCATGCTGTTGCTGCTGTGCAAATTGTTGTTGCTCAGATCCAAGCAGCTGCTGCTTTGGCCCAGCAACTGGCTGTGACTATGGCTGGCCGCTAGCGAAATGTTCGACGAGAGCAGCTGCTGTTGCTGTTGGTGTTGCAACTGTTGTTGTTGCTGCTGCTGCTGCTGCTGCTGTTGCAGCTGCTGCTGCTGCTGCTGTTGTTGCTGCTGTTGATGTTGCTGCTGCTGTTGTTGCTGCTGTTGCTGCTCCGCAGCAGCCACGTAATCATATTCCACATAGCCCACACTGTCGCCGCCCAAGGTATTCCCATTATTGCTCTCCATGTCGGCGCCCACGCTGCTGCCCAGGCTGGAGGGCGTGTCCGTGTCAATGTAACGCTTGAAGAACTTGTGCTGCATGATGCACAGCTTCCAGAAATAGCGTGCAATATCCGCCTCGCTGAAGATGAAGCTGCCCACAATGCTGCCATCGCCGTCCAACTTATTCTGCTCGATCTTAATGGTGCGCTTGTCAATGGTCACCGTGTGGAACTCTTTCCACGGGAAATACTGCCTGCCGTTGTCCGCATTGACGACCATGCCATTGATGGCCAGCCCGAGCAACAGGTCGTTGCCCAGCGTATCCTTGGCTGCGAAACGCTCCTCGCCATAGCCGTCCAGCTGCTGGCAGCATTGTATGTACATCTCCTCCGCCTGACTTTGATTGAGATGGGCGATGCCCGCGTGCTGCTGCAACACCTCCATGATCAAGCCCTCCAGCATGCTGTCGTCGTTGGCCAGCCCCTGCATATTGCGCGGCAGCACCAGAGACTTCTTGAGATAGTCCTTCGACTGCTTGTCGCTCTGATAGCTGTCGTACTCGCCTTGGCGACAGTAGAGCGCCAACAGTATGGCCGTGCGTATGTCGCAGGCAATGCGCCCCTCGTAGATGTCGCTCTTCAGCTGCAGAAAGTAGTAGAAGCGCGTCGCCTCGTCGTTCAGATGCCTCACGCCGGTCGTTACATAGTGTCGCACGCGCAGATACATTTTACTATCGGCCGCATATTTGAGCAGCTGGCGACTGAGCGAACGCTCCAGATCCAGCCATTTGTATTCATCCTCCTTGTCCTTGACCAAATAGCGTAGCCCGAAGAATTCGGGCTGCTGGATGTAGAGCCGCTGGCATACGTTATCCAAGCAATCCTGACCCTTGCTCTCCGAGCTGATGGTGCAGTCAACTGTGCTCGAGACGTCTGTCAAAGAGATATATATATAAATATGTATATAGTATTGGTGTGTTAGTTAACAGTGGATAAAAACGTGCGCAGATAAAACCCAAAAGCAACAATAGCAACCACAACAGCAACAACGCTTGGCAACACAGCACGCGCAAATATGCTAATGTACACACAGATATTTTTGTTGTCTAATCGTTTTTTTTTTTTTTTTTGATTGCCTTCTACGCTTTATTGAGCCACAAAAGCACAGTCGACGGAAATCGTTGGGCTATTTCTTGATGCTCTGTTAATTAACAGTGTGCGCCTGTTACGAGCACAATGACACTGGGCTACAGGTATTATGCTGCTGATAAATGCAATTAGCTTCCTGCAGATAAATACATTTATTTATTTGTCTCAATATTAGCAGTAATTTATTAAAGCAACTGTTACCAGTTGGCGTCTCTTAAGTGCAAAAAGCTTTAATTTACTTTATATTCGTTTATATTACTCAACATTAGCTGCAACTCATTAGGCCAATGTCATTTTAGCATAAGCTATGTAGCTGCCAACTGTTAACAGATGGCGCCTGTTAACAAGGCTTTACAGTGGCGCAACAAGTCAAATATAAGAAATGAGAAAAAAATGCTGTATTTGTTGTTGTCGCTGATGTGTTTTTGGCAAAAAGCGAATTCCGAAACGAAAACTGGTCATAACGAAAGCCGTAAACGTTCGCCACGATAAAGGCACAGCTTATCTTATTGTTGTTGTTGGCCTTATAAAAAAATAACAAACAATTATATGTTTCCAATTAAAAACGCGCAAATGAGTAAATAAATCAACAAGTGTAAAACTTGGCGGCAGCTGCGTATCTTGTTGCCGTTGCTGCTGTTGTTGTTGGTGGTGTTGTTGTTTTTGTTGGCGACTCATAGACTCGTGCAATTGAAAACTTGAACACTTGTGTTATTGATAGTCTTCTTCTTTCAATTGCTGTTATTATTGCTGTTAAGCTGATACGCCCCCATAGACGCATAGGCACGCACACACACACACACGCACATGCTGGCTCACCTAGCAAATGATGCACATTTATAACAAATAGATTTTTGGACGTCACATTATATTGTCGACATTTTTTAAAGAATTTCAGTGGCATTTCCGTGCCGTTGTGTATGAGACTAAGACACGCTGCTGCGGCTGCTGCTGCGCTGTTGGCTTTGACTAAACTGTTGTTGGTTTTGTTGTTGGCCAGCAGGTACCAACGACATTTGCATGTAAATTACACAATTGGGTTTTGTTGGTTGTTGTTTTATATTTTCAAGCTGTTTGCGAACAGCTTATAAGGCACTTTGAATCGAACACAGTTGTGTGTACACGTTAAGCATTAAAATTAAATAATTAAAGCTTATTTAAAGTCGTAGCGAAAAAAAAATAAATAAAAGCGTTAACAGAAAAACTAAAACGAAAGAGTAGTTTGGTCGTGGTATCGAATAAGACGAATGAGTACAGTGGACGTTTGCTAGAGATGTGTAATATTACCGATAGCACACTCTAACAGCAAGCTGTTAATCTGGCATGCTTATTGTCTATGCAATGTGTAATCAAAACAATAGATACAATTTAATTGATTGAACGGAATATCATATACAGCATGATATCTTTATATATATTTATTTTTAAGCATAAACAATTGTATTGGCGTTAGCCGAAAAATTACTCAAGTTTCATAGTAAGTTGTTAACAGTTCACCTGTTTAGTATATAATCTGCAAATAATGGTCACTTTAGGGTAAGAGAACCCATATTTTGCTCGCTCCCTTGCGATCTGCATATTCAGCTTACCAGAGTAAGTTTCGTTAAGTATATTTACTGACCGATAGTTTTGCGATGAATGACAGCAGCACCACTTGAGTAACAATAACAACAGTATCGCTTTGTTAAAGCTACCGATCGGACGTGGTTTTATTTTGTGTTAGTAATTATAGCGAATTAAGTGCAAACTATTAATCAATTACTTACACGCCAATCAGTATAATTTTAGCCGTACACCGACACGGGTGGATTTTTTGTGCGACATCGAAAACTTTGTGCAGTAATTAGCCAAATACGCATACATATATAGATTTTACATACATATGTATGTATAAGTGCGCCTTGTCGTTGTTGTTGCCGCTGGTGCTGCTGCAGTCGTCGACGTCGCCGTGTCGTTGTCGTCCCCGTCGTCGTGGCTTCCACTTTAACTAAATAAAACAAATTAAGCGCTCGCGCAACGTCAACGCTAAACGTGTACAACAAAAAAAGAGGAAAATCGAAATCAAAAGGAGAAGGCAATAACAGAAAATCGCACAAGGCGCATGCACAAACGTCTGAACGGGGGGCAACACACTCAGTTTTTATTTACAACGCATTCAGTGTAAGTTCTACGCATTTAAGATACATAAAAATATCAAATATCTTGAGCCGATTGCTCGTTTCGTTTTGTATGCGGCATTTGATGGTCAAGGTTACAGCAACAACAAGAGATCAATATATATATATATATATGTATACATACACACACACGCCCTCATATATAATGTACACGTGTGCGTATGTATGTATGCATGTGTGGGTACACACTGGACTACGTGTGTGCGAGCGAGACAAGTCAATATTACTGACGTAGTATAAAGTTCATTACCTGTTGCTGTTACTGATGTTTCTTCGTTAAGTGCGCATGTGTATGTGTTTCTGTGTGGTTTTGGTTTTCTTATACGAAACAGGTTGCATGTTCGTTAAATTTTGAAGTAACATAATACTAGGCCATCTCGCTTGCACTCTCACTGCTTTCGCTTGAAACGCTGCTGAAGCACGCGGCATCAGCAATTTAATTCAATAAATTCTCTCTAGTTCATTTATTTCGAAATATGTGTTAGGACCCGCCTGCAAATTTAGCTGAATTAACCTCTGTTCTTTCATAATCTGATGTAAGCATTCTGATTGTGTCTCAAAAAGTTGTTTCGCACAGCTGTTTTCGACTATCTTATCAGTTTTCTACAGCTGATTTTCGATATCGAAATAACGGTTGAATTATTTCAACAAGTATTTGAATTGCATGCTTTTATAATTTTTTAGTGAACATTTTTATTTTTCTAAATGTTTTTAAAAATAAATATATATTATATAAGCATTTGGACAAAAAAGGCTCATTCGATATATGTATATAGTATAGAAACTTGCAAAATAATCTTATTTTTATCTGAAATTCAGGTTTATTATAATAAAAATTCGTAATGCCAAGCAAAATTTGTTGTTGTTGCCTTTTTGTCGCCTTCACTTCTCACTGTTTGATTTTTTCCCAAGTTTTAAGTCCATATATAAAAAATACACGTTCGCATAAGACCCAATCATGAAAATGAATAAAAATCTCGACATATCATAAAAACGTGTAATTCGTAAAAAATGCTCTTGCCATTGCGAATTTTTGAGATTCCAATGTACCTAAAAAGATGACAAAAATAACATTTGTATGGTATATATATATTTCCATTCAAAATTTGACATGCATAATTTATTATGTTAATATTTTAAAACTCTATTTTTAACGTGTTTGATTTTTAAATTTAAAGGAAAATATAATAATATATATATATAATATAATGCTTAAAAATGTTAGAAATAAATTTTAGAAAATTGTATTTTATTTTATAGAAATAAGTTTTAGATCTTATTTTAAAATTGAAAATAAAAATAAGAATTATGCTTAAAAATCCCAAAAATAAATTAAAATATTTTACTTGCTTTTATTTTTAAATTAAGAACACTCCCAAAAAATAATAAAGTCGCTTAAAAATGAAAAAAAAAAACTAATAAAATGTTATTCTCATCGTCCACCTGGCTGCATAAGTCATAAGCTAAACTTACAAAATCTCATTAACTATAAAATAATAAGCTGAGCTTTCACTTTGGTTTTACAACTTCCTCTTGGTATTTGAACTGGACTGAATAGGGTTATCTTTGAAAATCTTGTTTTGAGTCCCAGACAATTGCATAATTCCCTTCATTCATGTATTATATATTATTTAAAAATTGTAGTTCAATAATTTCTAACTATATTTAATGTAACAAAATACATTTTATCTAACTACGAAGTTTGTTTTATAACTCACATTTTTAACTATAAATACATATTCATCGCTTCAATTTCGTATTATTAATCAAAATGAAATATAAAAAAATTATAGTATATATATTTATATATATATCTATCTATTCATATGCTTGTGTATGTCTGGTAACTTTGACATTGAAACAAATACAAGCGATTGGGTTTATTGTTTTGGCGAGGTTGTCTCAAGTCTTTGCTCGCCTCAATCTAATGCTCTACACACGCACACACATGGAAACAGACTCTTGACTTGGCCCCGTTGTGTTGGACAAACACGTTTAAAACGGCAACAATAATTTGCAGCGATAAGAGAACGCACACAATTTTTTGCTCATTCATGCTTAGTTTTGTGTTTAATGAACTCACTAAGTAGAAACGTATTTAAGTCTTTCGGATGGTGCTACTTAATAGTATCCCTATGGCGGGACAATTTTTGCTTACTCAACATTCGCGTGCAAGAAATCTTTTTGCTTTTCAAACCAAACACCCTGATATAGAGACGTATATATGCTGCTTTTCTGAACTCAAGTAAAGATTATCTATGTTTGGGATTTTAGGGTTAGTCGTCGCGTAGTACAACATGAAAAACCTGTCAAATTAATTAGAAATTAACGAAAATTAGAAAAACGTTTGTAAATTCTAGTTCAAATTTTGGTGCTGGCGTTATTTGCAAAGAAAATAAATTGATCTATAAAATCTGAGAATCTTTTAGAGAAATTGAAATATATTAAACATTTTTGAAGTCTCCTTTGGTAAAGGATTTTTCTTAAATATTTATTTTTTTGTTTTATATTAGAAATTTTTTCAAAACTTTTTTTTGTTTTTTTTCTTCAGTTTGATTAACAATTGATATTTATTAATATATATATATATATATCTATACATTTTTGATATTTTCTTAAAGTTGTTATTTCTTTTAATTATTAACTAACTGTGGCTTGCTAACTAATTTCTGTTCCAATCTAATCTCTTTACGCACTAAAATTTTAATATATATATTTTGTTGGTTTTAATTGTGGTTGGATTAAATTGAACGACAGGGCAAAGGTGCTCGAATTAAGAATTTAGTTATGTTAATGAACTATACAAACTGCTTGCGTCAGATACAAGAGTATATATATGATTGAAGAACTAGTGTAATTGTATTAGAAGTTTTTTAAAGTTTTCTGTTTGCTTGTTATATATATATATATATATATATATATATATATATATATATATATATATATATATATATATATATATATATATATATATATATATATATATATATATATATTAATATTTACGAGACTAGTACGAATCTATTTTTACATAAAAGAAAGAGAAGATTATGTATATTATATAATATAATAAAATAATAATTATACGAATAATATCCTCTTTAGGATTATAAAAACATAGTGTACTTGAAATATAAGAATAAATTTAAAAAAATATATAAAATATATTATAATTATATGCCATGTTTGCAACATTTAACAAATGTTTTCTTTAGGAATTTAAACTGTAATTTGAAATTTAGAATATTTATTAATTAATTATATATTAATTAATATAAAATTATAAGAAAATGATTCTAATAATTAATTGTCATTGTGGAGTATAAAATTATTATGTAATTATATATTTATTATTATTACAATTGATAAATACAGTTATGCATTAATTCTGATAATAATTTATTAATACCTATATAATTAACTTATACATTTTCACAATTGCAAAATATTTCTTTAACATATAGCTAATTAGCTTTAATTTTGAAATTCAACGACACACACGCCACACACACATACACACACCTTGCCTGCCCATTTCTGACCTACAAAACTTAAGTCAGTTTTTCCGCAGCTGTCTACTATTTCATGTTGTTTTTGTTTTTGTTTTTTGTCTTTTGGCTTGAGTCGATTAACCATTGAACACCTTTTTCATTTTTAATGGCAACTTGTGAAAGATACGGAGCACTAAACCACGGCCGGGTACGATTTGCATACGTGTCGACGCCGTCGCCTCGCCGCGGTTCGGAAATTGTTTAATATTTATTTTTTTGCCATTTGCTGACCACAGCAACAAGAACTAAAATATTGCACGAATGTTTTCAAAGCACTAATACAAACGCACGTAGTCCAAAAACACATTAGACATTAAGAAACCTGCTCAAAATTCAAGGTGCAAAGCCAACGTGTTTATTATGTCTCTGTCTGTCTGCTTGCCTGTTTGTATATATATTTTTTATAGTCCTAAAATGTCGGGTAGAGATCAACGTTTCCGATATTAAAAAGTGAAATTAAAAAATGAGTCTTATTTTTAATATTAATAATTTTTAATAAACAATTTGATAAGAAATAATAAAAACATTA